TTTATCGAGTAGAATTCATAATCTAGCGTCAAACTGGTGCACTGTTGTTGCTCAAAACTTGCGCAAAAGTCAGTAGAAGAGTTGGTGAAGTTGGAAGGGATTTCGGTGTCACATTGAGTGATTTTCACATCAGCTCCTAGATTTTGAGGTATTTTGTCAGTTCGTTAAAACTCACCTCCAAAAACCATAAACAGAAAATTGCCACAAACAATGATCATGACAAGCTGAACAAATTAATGAAGCCTTTTATGGATATGAAATCTTTAAGCCAAACGGATTGTAAAGAAACCTGTAGACCGGGCTATAAGCCAAATATTGGTCAGAATCCAGGCCAAGATCTAGCTTCTGGTCTGATCCTGGCCTTGTCTTTTACTTGATTCATTTAAATTCCAATAACCAACCTCAATCAGTAAAATAGTGATGAATCCGTATCGTCCCAAAGTGAGAAAATCGTCGATACATTTCTTCTCGGATTTCATTGTTTACCAATAAAATTTGTGTTTTCAATGCTGTAAAAGATCAGCTCTGAAAATGAATCGATAAACTTGAGAAGAAAAATTAATGAAGCAAATGGAATTAATTTATGTCAAACAATCAGCTGAGAAGGGTGGCTAGAGTTTAAATGGTTTAAATGATTTGAATGATTTGAATGATTTGAATGATTTGAATGATTTGAATGATTTAAATGATTTGAATGATTTGAATGATTAAATGATTTGAATGATTTGAATAATTTAAATGATTTAAATGATTTAAATCCGGTCCCCCTTTTTTCTGGTCTCTTTGAATTCGGCTCTCTACGGGGCGCCTCCAGAAGGGGGCCTTTTCTCATACGCCAACCTTCCGTTTCCTCTAAAAGCCCCCACAGTTTCTTTTTTAATCGAGTTATTAAGTTCTGGAACATTTTACCCCCTCATGTTCGTGATATTTCCACCTTGGCTAGATTTAAAGCCGCAATTTCGGCAATTGATTTGACTGCTCTGTGATTCTTTCTTGAGGTATCCATTTATCTTTTGGGTGTGTTTTGAGTGGTGTCCCGGGTAATTATTGTGATTTTGTCTTGTCGCTATTCAACTGAATAAAGCATATATATATATATAAAATGATTTAAACGATTAAATGATTTAAATGATTTAAATGATTTAAATGATTTAAATGATTTAAATGATTTAAATGATTTAAACGATTTAAATGATTTAAAAGATTAAATGATTTAAATGATTAAATGCTTAAAATGATTTAAATGACTTAAATGATCTGAATGATTAAATGATTTAAATGATTTAAGTGATTTGAATGATTTAAACGATTAAATGATTTAAATGATTTAAATGATTTGAAAAAATGTTTAAATGATGTCATGTAGGTACATTTGATATGTAAAAAAAATGGAAACGTGAGAGGAACAGTCTTTAAAGGGACGAAACCTCAGACTAAACAGTCGGTAAAATGACGAAACTTCAGACTAAACAGTCCGTTAAACGACGAAACTTCAGACTAAACAGGAATTCATAAAAAGTGCGCGAGGAAAGTGAAAAACATCATTGATATGATGTATGGCATTTAAAAGTTAAATGGCTAAAAGTTACAAAGAATAAAATGGATCAAGAGAGCAATTGTTGTCTTGTATCCAAAAATGTAGCTCTGCAATTGTCGGCATCTGCCATTTCCCTTTTACTTACACTAGCATAGCTTAATTGACATTTAAAGTATAAATTCTAATTGTCTTAATTGCCTTTCCTATTTCTGGGCAAAGAAGCTCAATGGTAGAGCATTTGCCCGATAAGCAGAAAGTCAAGAGTTCAATTCCTCTTCGTTTCCAAATCCTTTCTCATCCATTTCCATACTTTATTAGGTAGTATCTGTTGCAATTAGATATATAATTTTCCTTTTCTAAAGATCTGCTTAAATCTCTTAACGATCTAGCTCTATATTCAAATCAATTCAGGATCAAGTGTCTTACAAATAGGAGTAACTGATTGAAATGAGTAACTCACAGATCACTTTGATAGCCATTAGCTAATATGAAAACCGATACAGACCTTTCATACACACAAAATTAAACAAAATCTGTAGATCAAAGATCTCTAGTGCTTGTGTCAAAGAAGTTTTACAAATTTAGAATCAAAAAGCTTGATTTAAGCTGATTCAAAGTTTAAAAATTTGAAAAACATACTTACAATCATAGTTCAAACTTATAAAACAATTAAAGCAGCAAAAGTTGATTTGTTTTTGATACGGTAACCAATAGAAACTGAACTAAGCCAAAAACCGGACAACTCCAACTAGAGTTCACCCATTTTTATACCAGATTGAAGATTTCACCTTGCGAACTTTTTGATCATAACAAAAATATGTTCGGAGAGCTTTTGTGGTGATCGGTTCATTTAGAATTGAGCGAAGTTTGATGTAAATCACGGAATTTGAAAAAAGAGAAAGAAACTCGACTATTTTTCGAGTCTTTCTCTCGTGTTTACCACACTTCCCGCTTTCTCTTCCCTAAAATTTTTCAAAGAACAAAGCACTTGTTGATCTTCAGTTAACAGTGAACAAAACAATGCTCGAATACTCATATTTTTCTAGACTCAAGCTGTTTATCAGGATTGATCTCTAACAGTGAAACTTTAATCTATTTGAATCATCGAGAGTTTTGAAGACTTATTGAAATGGAAACAGGCATTTTGATTTAGGTTTAAATTGTGTGCTTTTTTTGAATTTGATTGGACACTTTTACGTAAACTTTCTAAAAATTTGTCTTTGAAGGCATGTGAAGTGCTTTGAAAGGCTTGGATGGAACTTAAAACAACGTTAGAGGAAACTTTTCAATGAATAGAACTATTCTTTCAGTTTGGCTGTTATTTAAAAGCAACACATTGGTCTAACAGGATGCAGAATTTTAAACAAAAATACATCCAAATTTAAGGTAAAGATTGATCCCAAAAATTTGGGTATAATGACGCCAACAAAGAGAAAAAGCTCAGCGGCTCACCGCTTCTTCCTCTTTATGGATTCGAAAAGGGAAGCATCCCAAAAGGGAAGCATTTTTGAGATTTGCTAGATGATTAAAGATTCTAACAGTGAAAGCTTGAACCTAATTCATATTTTGGATCAACAATCCATAAACTTTATCTTAATCCATAAAAAACGAGACACTTTTTTGAAAAAAAGGACCGAGAAGGGATTACTTACGCGCCTACTTTTATTTCCTGTAAAAAGCAGAGATCTAGAGAAACAATCTCTCATGATTAAGTCCTTAATGGTGTCAACTTATTATGTTCATAGGCTATTTTTGCCTAGGCGCATTATCTAGAGAATTTGAGGTTAAAATTATTGAGTCACGTCTGTTGAACAAATATCTCATTCATCAATTCCTTAGCCATTTCTCTTTCTTTCAACGCATCCACATTTAGCTCAGTGGCAGAGCGTTTGGCTCGTAGAAGAATTCAATAAATCGAATGTCATCAGTTCATAGTGGGCAATTCGTTTTTGGAATTTGAGGGAAATTGTGCTATTCAAAAGAATTATATCAATTCTTGAATCCCCTCGTCTGATTGGCTTAGTGGCAGAGCGTCTGTCTGGTACACTTTAATGTCTAGCAAGCAGAAGGTCCCTGGTTCGGTTCCAGCATGAGACGATATGGTACTACCTTTTTGGGGATATGGTAGTTCAAGTTCAAGTATTTTGAACTAAAATACCGAAATTTTGTTTTTATCTATAACAAAAACCTTTTTAGGGCACAAAAATAGCGTGAAAAATCATTTATTGACTAAAAAGATGACTTTTTTGTTTGAATTTTTGTTTGAAAAAAAAAAAGATTTATGTTTCGAGCTTGAAAATTCGAACTTATTCCTACGCTCACTTAGTTGGATGCATTTTTGAGATTTGCTAGATGATTAAAGATCCTAACAGTGAAACCTTGAACTTGATCCATATTTTGGATCGACAATCCATAAACCTTATCTTAATCCATAAAAAACGAGACACATTTTTCGAGGACCGAGAAGGTATTACTTACGCGCCTACTTTGATGTCCTGTAAAAAGGACATAAAAGTATCTATCCATAGCAAGGGGTTTTGCCAGATGGAAAGCGATTACGCCGCCGCACAACGAACACCTTGTAACCCTTTTGCACAGGGATCTTACTTTTGCTTTGTAGATAGTGCAAAAAGAAGACATTGAGCTGAAAATTTGTACCCGGGGGTTTTCGAGGTCGGGGAATCGATTGGAGCTATTCATTTTATTGATGTGCGATTAGAAAATGACTACGAGTTTTGTGCGCAAGCGCACAAAACTCGTAGTCATTTTTATAAATACTTTTTGCTTTTTGATATTTACAGCTAACCGTTAGCTTTGTGGCGAAGAGCCACTAAAAAGTTGCCGAACTCTGGCAGCCTAAAAATTCGAAAAGTATTGAGGAAATCGGCGCGTCTTCATTCTATTTCGCGCCCCAAATCATTTATTTTTTTGTAGCCGGTTAGCTGAGTATCTTGTGTTAAAGCCTATATAAGGCAACTATTTTTTGATTTTGTTATCTTTATTTTTTCTGCTTTCCTTTCATCGTATGAAAGTTGTGTTCTAATTAGGACGAAATTGTTTATGTTTTTATCGTTGCTTTTAATTCAATTGTCGATTTGGTGTGAAAATTGCTCAAGTGAGAGCCCAAAGATTCCGAGTCAGTCGGCTATTGAATAAAGCGTTTTAGTTCAAGGGAGATCAGATATCTCGAAACAAGAAATAACGTGTCTTGAGTGAAGAGTACCAAGCACGCAAAGAATATTTCTTTACAAGCTTTGTGTTTTTTCGTAGATAATAATTTTTCCTCGCAAATGACTCAAACAAACAAACGAGTGCAAAGAAAACCTTTTAGGTAATCGATTTTTCTTATCAGACTCTTTCGGAATACGTTCGTGTAAGAAAACAAGTCCATAAACATTTTGCAAATACTTTTTAGCTTTTATAAACCGTTTTTACACATTGCCATTCAATTTGTTTTGGTAGTATGTTACAAGAAGACTCGCCCGGGGAGAAATTTCTGGCTGAAGGAGGTTTTGGAAGAGTCTACAAATCCCGGAAAAATGACATGTGAGTTGTTTTTGATTCAGAAACAAAGAAAAACTTGAATTATTATTTGATTGATTGATTATTATTAAAAAATTTGATTCAGGGCAATAATCATCAAGTACGTGAAAGGAGAGGTGGCAAAAAAATATAAGGAGGAGAGCAAAATACTGGAATCGTTAAACAATGGATCGATCGTTGGATATAAGGGAACACGACAGAAAGGAGATCAATTGGGAATTGAAATGGAATACTGCGAGAGGGGATCACTTAGCGAATGTTTGTGAAAAGCTTTAGTTTTCTAGTTTGAAGATCTTTTTTATAAAGTGACTTTACAGGGTGCGACATATTAGGTTGGCAAGTTATTGGATTGTCCAGTTATGAATGCGCGTTTTTTACTATTTTGTAAATTTCTCAAGATACCGAAATCAAGAAAAAGATATATATGAGTATTATTCGAAAGCTGGAGATCTCCTCTACATTTTGATATAAAAAGTTTTTGAATTTGTTCAGCTTTTGGGCAAATCGACTGCACAGAAGAAGAGGTGACCGAAAAATGGAAGGATGCCTTTGGATCAAGTTTTGGCTCCGCTCAAATTGAGTTAACCGTTTGATGTTTGGCCAATAGATATATCAATACAACTTTTTTTAAATATAACAATTTCAGAGCATCTTTACTTTTCTTTTCTTTTCTGGGCGGTTATTTTACACCATAAAACTTGAGGAATAGCTAAGCTGGAATGGGTTTTTTCGAAAACGACCTCTCCCTTTGTGCAGTCAATTTCCCAAAAAGTTGAATGAATTCAAAAACCTTTTTATTCCAAAATGTAGAGGAGATCTTCAGCTTTCGAATGATATATAACACTCATATACATCTGTTCGATATCTTGAGAAAATTACAAAATAGTAAAAACGCGCATTCATAACTGGACAACCCAATATAAACGATCGTTTTTTGGTAATGTGTTTTCTGAAAAAACGGCTTATCCAATCAAAAAACGGTTTGCTTGATTCAAAAGCCCTATCCTTAATCTACAAAATGGCTTTTTTGAATTTTTGAAAAACGTTTTATTTTAGAACTTTTTCAGGCATTTGAATGTAAGAGTTCAAAATCCTGGTTTCTAGTATTCATGAGTTAATATATTTTTGAGTGATTGCATACTTTTTTAAATAAAACGCTTCATCGATTACATAGTTTCCCAAAATTTCAGAACGTGTATAAAAGGTCTTTCTGACCCCGCCCCTTTTGTCAATCCAACTTTGAGCTCAAATTTCTTGGTGTTGGGCTGTCCAATTTAAATAATTTTTATACCAATCGACAGAGAAAGATTTGGTGCATCTAATGATATTAAAAATATTTAAATTGAACAGCCCAACACCAAGATATTTGAGCTCAAAGTTGGATTGCCAATGGCAAATGTCCGATAATCAAAAATTTATAGGGATTTACAACCCGACCGTTCTCTACAGCATTAAAACCCTCTGCGAATGGACCCAACAACTTTTGCTTGGACTTGTTTATCTCGAAAGTCAACACATTGTGCATCGTGACATAAAACCTGACAAGTCGGTTTTATTGTACAACCATAAATTTCATGTTCAGCATTTTTGTGACCACGGATTATCAGCTGAAGCTTGGCGATTTTGGGATTTGTGCGATTCTACATGAATCAAACCAAGAGTTTCCTGAAGCTGGGACCTATCGTTACGCTAATCCGTTTGGAAGAGGCTTTGTATTACTTTATCAGATTTCAAAGTTTTACTTATTTTTTAGGTTCGATACGAAGATGATTTGTATAGCCTGGGCCTGGTGATGTGGGAAATGGTCGAACGCAGGTGGTTGTACCAAAAGTTCTTGTCTTAACACTAGTTTATACGTCCAGCGTATTTCAATTTGTATATCAGTTTTAGATTGAGATTGAGATCTAAAATAGTTTGAAATGCAAAAATGCATTCTAACTTCTAAGCACGATCTGAATCACAGATACAACCGACTTCTACCGACCTCAACAATACAGGATGTTCAAGAATGACGGGCACTTTTTCTCTAGTGCTTAGCTCTGCCTAGAGTTAACCGTTCCCCATAAAACCTTTTTGGTAGAATTTATTGCTTATTTTCAACACTTTACCTCGATATTTTATTCAGAAACTCAAAATTAGTAATTCTATAGAACTTCGAATCTTCAAAGCCTCTGAGACGCGGCTCCTTGTGACCAAATTTTGAAAATAAATACTTACTATTCAAAAACTATTCACAGTTTAGGTTTTCTAAATTTATAATTGAGGTATTTACAACGTTTCATCCATGATCGGATAGTCATTATTGAAGTAATTCTTTAAGTTCAACATTTGGTCACAAATGGCCCCGTCGCAGACGCTTTGAAGGTTCGAAGTTCTATAGAATTACTAATTTTGAGTTTCTGAGTAAAGTATCGAGGTAAAGTGTTGAAAATAAGCAGTAAATTCTACCAAAAAAGTTTTATGGAGAATGGTTAACTCTAGGCGGAGCTAGGAACTAGAGAAAAAGTGCCCGTAATCCTTGAACATCCTGTACTTATACTTCAACCCAGATGGCTACTTGCACGAATTCAATAACGAAGCTAAAATGCAGAAGGATTCGAGCAAAATAGACCAAGATTTGTCCGAGAATAGGACGAAAACAACAATTTAACTGATTTAACTTGTATTTACCTACTTAACAGTGAGGAAATGAAAAATTTAAACAATATATTGGGTTGTCCAGTTATGAATGCGCGTTTTTACTATTTTGTAATTTTCTCAAGATATCGAACAGATGTATATGAGTGTTATATATCATTCGAAAGCTGAAGATCTCCTCTACATTTTGGAATAAAAAAGTTTTTGAATTCATTCAACTTTTTGGGAAATTGACCGCACAAAGGGAGAGGCCGTTTTCGAAAAAACCCATTTCAGTTTAGCTATTCCTCAAGTTTTATGGTGTAAAATAACCGCCCAGAAAAGAAAAGAAAAGTAAAGATGCTCTGAAATTGTTATATTTTTAAAAAAGTTGTATTGATATATCTATTGGCCAAGCATCAAACGGTTAACTCAATTTGAGCGGAGCCAAAACTTGGTCCAAAGACACCCTTCCATTTTTTGGCCACCTCTTCTTCTGTGCAGTCAATTTGCCCAAAAGCTGGACAAATTCAAAAGCTTTTTTATATCAAAATGTAGAGGAGATCTTCAGCTTTCGAATAATACTTATATATATATCTTTTTCTTGATTTCGGTATCTTGATAAATTTACAAAATAGTAAAAAAACGCGCATTCATAACTGGACAACCCAAATATGACAAGATTGGGGAGAAAAAGGTATTCAAGCGAGACAAGGATTGAGCAAAATTAGCAAAATTAGCACTTTTCCGTAATCGTTTCACGTTTTCTTACTTTGAAACTACTTTTGGATGTAAATTTTGTAATTTTTAAGGTAAATCGCAGCGGCGCTTTAAAATATTTAGCACAGTGATTGAGCTCAAACGAGATTCGGAATCTTTTTCAAGCGCTTGAAATTCCCGGCCTGGATTTTAATCTTATAAAAGACTGGCTTATACTTTAAATCATCTAAAACCAAAGCTTTTACAAATCAAACAAATCTTAACATTTCAAATTGCATTTCAGACGGGTTTATTCGGAGTATGGCCCTGATGTGAATCACTTTAATGCCAACAAATTTCATGATGATGCTTTTACGCAAAATAGGGTTCTTCTTGAGGCACCGAATTGCCCTGAGAACTTGCAGAAGATTATTTTTAGGTAATTTTTGATGATCTCATAAATTGAATAAAAATTGGGCCAATATTTCAGTTGCTATCAGTTTGATCACGAGAAACGCCCAAAGCCTATGGATGCTTTCTTGCAATTTTCGCACTTCACCATGCATGAAGTGAGTGCTTTTGGCTTTTACAATTATACAGGGTGACCAAGAATTACCACAACAACTTTTTGGACAAGTATCTGGGAAATGTCTAATTTATTTCAAAAGTGGCAAGTGTTATACAGAGAATTGTAGGCCTAATTCTCGGCAACATTTATCTACCAAAAACATCCCGATTGGACTTATACAACTCATTTAACAAGCGCTTGAATGCGCGTCGACATCTCTCCGGCGAATCTGTCATTTGGCCACTTTTCTACATTTTCTAAATGAGTTCACCAAATTCATAGCGCCAGAACAGCTGATATAACGAGATACGCATATGAACTGAATATCGAAAATGCTCAATTTTCCCTGCTCCTCCAAAAGGAGCTTGACATCAACTTAAATTTTGGTTATGCCAGTCCAGCCAAAACATTTAAGTGTGATTCTTAATGTTATTAAGTGGTAATAAACGCTATTTTTGCATTGAAGAAATATTGAAAAGCTTTTCTTATCAATTTTTCATAGAGAAAAGTGGCCAAATGACAGATTCGCCGGAGAGATGTCGACTAGCGCTCATTCAAGCGCTCGTTAAATGAGTTGTATAAGTCCAATCGGGATGTTTTTGGTAGATAAATGTTGCCGAGAATTAGGCCTACAATTCTCTGTATAACACTTGCCACTTTTGAAATAAATTACACATTTCCCAGATACTTGTCCAAAAAAGTTGTTGCGGTAATTCTTGGTCACCCTGTAGTATCTAAAATTTTTGGGCTTAATGGTAAAAATGATTATAAATGAGACTTCGAATATAATATTTTTAGATTTTCCCAGTCGAGCTCCAATTCGACTTTCAACCGTACGTTGATCCAAGTCAGAAAATTCTCTATCGACCGATTGGCTTTGACAGAACGAAAAACAAAGTTCCCATTGAACAAGAAGAAGATCTTTCATCGATTTTACCCTCAAACTTGGGAATTTCCACAGAGGGATCTTTAGAAATTGTCGAAAAAGCGGAGAAAGATTTAAATGTACAATCTACTGATAAGCAAAGCGATTTTGTTGAGGAAAACAAAGCTAGCCACTTATGTAATCAAGTTCAAGAAAATGAAGATCACCAAAATTCACAATATGAAGAAAATAAGTCAACTTTTTTGTCGATTCTTCCAAAAACGTTTGATCTTTCAACTTTTCAAGCAACAAGTGGCTCTCTTGGACCCACTGATGAAGCCGATGATGTCAAATGGGAGAACACATCTTTTTTCCTGCCTGGAGACAAATTCTTCTATCTCATTGACAAATTTTTATTCGAAAAATATAAAGAAAAGAAAAACTCTGTTCCTAAAGAGGAGTTTTTGGTTTTCTCAACGATAAAGCCGCTAATCGTTGCGGCGAATTTCGAAGAACTGAAAAGTTTTATGCCGACTTTTCCAATCGACGATTTTCAAGTAAATGACTTTGATAGTTTGAAAGAGTTATTAGAAAAACGTTTAATTTTGGATTACTTTGTACAACTGCAGCTTTTCGATTGTGCTTTTGAAGCTATTCGTTTCGCCGGAAACACTTTTTCCGGGCATCTATCAACTATGCAAATGATTCATAACTTGCGAAATCTGTTAGGGATTTTCAAGAGCACAAGGTACTCAAGAACAATTTATTATAAAAAGTTTGCTTCTGCAAGAACTGGAAAAAAATGGTTGTACTTGAATAAGCATGGGAACTATTTGAGATTTATTGATGAGAGTTTAACAACAGTGAAAATGTTTTTTATGGAAAGGTGAAGGATCACCCTTGCAAATGCTTGTGCAAAACTTGGAAAACAATGAATTTTTCGGCAATTTTGACAATTTCGATACATTGACAAGAGTTGCACGTCAACCAATCGATTCTCATATGGTGATTGATACACTTGATCGCTTGCTAATCAAAACGATCGAGTCAATGGTTGAAACAGAGTTGTTCTTTAGTTGAAAAGATTTCTGTTCAACTATTGAAACTTTTTTGAATTTAAAACTTTTGAACTCGCCAATTTCTGGCTATGTTTTTCAGCTACGAAATCCACCAAAGCAGATCTGCAATTGTGAAGAAATTTGTGAGATTGTGGGGATTTTACCTAAACAATTCGCTAATTTCGCTCAAAATCTAAAGAGAACTCCTGATCACAGTTTAAAATATTATAAATGTGCCACAAAAGAATTACAAGATTTTATGGAATTGTATCACTCATTTTGTGCAAGATTGACAATATTGTTGTCAATGAAGAGAAACGAGCCACCATATCCACAAGGATTTTTATCGTATGTTGAACCATCAACAGAAATATTCAAAAACGAACTCTACTTCTTTCACTATCAAAAAGTTGACTGTGAAAAAAGCGTTGTTTGGGAGCGTTGTTTGGGATAAATAAATAGCGTTGTTTGGGAACTTTTGGCTCATTCCCCATACAGTCCGGACCTCGCCCCTTTTGATTACTATTTATTCCGGATCATGAGTAATGAGCTTGAGGGAGAACACTTCGACTTGGAAAAAGCAGTCAAAACTTGACTTTGAAAGTTTTTCGATTCAAAACCAAAATCCTACTACGAAAGAGGAATCCGCAAATTGCCTGTAAAATGGGCAGAAGTCGTCAATAATAATGGAAATTATTTCGAATGAATTTATGGTTCAATAAATTTTAGTACAAAGTCAGTCAGTTTTCAATTCACCAACCCAATAGTTAAAGTCTAATATCGATTTTTTGCAAATTTTAAACTGTTTTTCTAGAAAAAAGCTTCCATGGAAATTGTTGACATATGTGATCCGGATGACTTGGAATTGCTCTCGGACATTTTTGATGGGTTAGTTTAATTTTAATTTTAGAATACATCTTTTTAGTCATCTACAAATGTTTTGATGGCTGTCTTTTTGAAGTACGAAAGAGATTTTACATTCTAATTCCTTCACTTTCAAATTTCAAGAAAATTTCAACTGTATTCTGAATAAAAGCAATAAACTTTAGTTCAAGTTTCGTCTAGGCCTGGCCTGACTCAAACTAATGAAATAAGGTAAAGCTCGGCAAGGTTTAAAAGTCACAAGTACGATTGTTTATTAAAGATCAAGAAAATTAGTTGCTCTAACAAAACTTTGTGATGAACAAGCGGAGCAAGTCTCCGCGCACTGTTGCATGTGAGCTCCACACTGGTTTGACATTAGATATCCATGACATCTGAAAATATTGCCAAAGTTGCATAATATTGAAACTAGAATGAAAATCAAATTAAAACGAACACTTCAGCGGCAATACTGTCATAGCAAAAGCATTGATTTGACGAATCATAGAAGTTACATCGTTCAAATAGAGCACAAGAGCCACCGATTGCTGCTGGAATTTGACAAACTATGGCAAACTGTTAAATTTATTTTGAGTTGGGCGGTTCTTTTATGGGTTGGGAATACAAAACGTGGTTGCCGCCGGGATTTGAACCCGTGACCTCTCGCTTACCGGGCAAAAGCTCTTCAAATGAGCTACACGATCACATATCCCCTTGCCGACAGGTAAGATCTTATGCCTTACTCTTTGACTGATCCAGTCTTGAAAAATCTTTCATTAGTTTGCAAAATTTGAAGTCAGCTTTTCAATTATTATTTTGAGGGAAATTTTAGTCCTCTCATAGGCAATAAAACAAGTAAAATAGTCACTTACGTCCCACGACCGTTGTTGGGGAAACGTTTGATGGCAGGTTTGGACATGGCTCTTCATTCAAATAGCACTCATCACCACCTCCATCATTGTAGCATGTTGATCCAACCGGGCAGCCTTGACGGAAAGATGCTGAAAATGGTTTTTACTCTCAAAAATATTGAATTAGATGTAAAAGCCAATGATTCAAGTGATGTTTCTATTTTGGTTTTTTTGGAAAAAGATTTACTGGCTAATTAGTGGGTTGGTGAATTTAAAACTGCCGGACTTTGAACTAAAATTTATTCAACATAAAACCATAAATTCATTCCAAATAATTTCCATTATTATTGACGATTTCTGCCCATTTTACAGGCAATTTGCGGATTCCTCTTTCGTAGTAGGATTTTTGGTTTGTGTGTGAGGCAAGTGTGAGACTCAAAAATGGAGGACTGGAGATGTCCCAGTTTGAGCACTTTTTTCAAAAGAAACCCATTTTGGTGTCAATAGAAAAGTTGTAGAGCATCAAAAATTAGGCTTATAGCCAAATTCCCAAAAAGACACACTTAGTAGTTTCGCTTAAAATGCAAATTTTGTGAAAATTCGTAAATTTGGCATTTCTTGAAAACCAGTTTTTGAATCGTTCTGAAAATTTGGATATAAGCTTAATTTTTGATTCTCCTACAACTTTTCCATTGACACCAAAATGGGTTTCTTTTGAAGAAAGTGCTCAAACTGTCACATATGATAATAGCCGGCAGTTTTCAATTCACCAACCCAATATTATTGATTTCTTGGCTAGTTAATTTTTTATTATGTCTTGTTGTTTTATTTTTTGAATTTTATAAATAAATTTATAGAAATTACTTTATTTGGCAAGGTTTTCGGCAAATGCTATATCTTTTTGATTGAAACATTTCTTTTTGTTAAAATATTAAAATCTCTAATAGTAGTGCACCCAGAGAGGGGATTGAAAAAAACAGTAGTCCGCACTACTATTATAGAAAATGTGGTAATTCAGTTTTTTTTATTACTAACGATTAAGGAAAGAATTTACTGTTGTCAAACTAGAAACTGAATTACAGGGCCAATACCATTTCTTTTGCCTTTTAGGCAACCGAATTCATTCCTTAAAATAATATTTGAATTACACTTTGCTTTGTATAGGGTGCATTTGATTTACTTTCAGAGTTTCGACTCTGAAAGCATTAGACACAGCCCTTTCAGGGGAAACGTCTTTTCCTCTGACAATTTTTGCCTTTTCAACACTACACTTGCTGATTTGCATTCTCTACGAATTTTAAGATAACTTTTATCTTTTAGCATAAACAGCTTTTACACTCATTTCTTATGAAGTACAAAAACTTTTTAACTAAACTAATCTCTGATTTTATTCACTTGTTCAATACTTACATTTAAATCCACCCCAAGTGACATTGATCGGAGCATACGGGCAATAGGTTGGCTCATCCGAAAACACTGGTTATCCCCATTCCACCAGTAACAAATCGTGCCACTGTCACAGAAGCCGAACGCTGCTAAAATTGAAAAATAGTAGATCTATAGTAGTTCTAACTATAAGTTTTTGAAAACTTTTAGAATAGGAATTTATCATTTGCGATCTCACCTCAATAACTATTGTGATTAAGATTTTCTTCATAATCCAATCAAACATACGTCCAACCGCTCCCCAAGTGATACTGTCAGGCACAGGAGGACAATCACTGAAGCATTGAAGTGCCGGTCCACTGTCGTAGTAATAAGTGTCCGTTGTATCGTAGCAAGTTGTACCATTTGGACATCCATCGATGTAGGCTGAATGGAAAGGTAAAAATTAAGGCCAATTAGTAACAGATTTGAGAATCGAAAGCGTAATTTTAAAAAAACCGACGCAGAGTTGCGTGCCAAGTGATGGCTGGTGGTAGAGGATCACACTGAGCGGTGACCTGGAAATTTTGAACTTCTAAAGTTCTGTCAGAATAAAGTTGATCAAAACTACAAAATCAATTCATTATCTCATGAATATTCGCTTTTCTTTTTCCCCTGTGTAAACTTTTTAGGTACTCTACTGTGCTAGATGCTGTAGAAACGCGATACTGTGCTTGCTAGGCACCGTCGCACCGTCTTAGCAAGCTGTACTAACTACTACAGTACCGTGCTGAAATAGACACGGAATTAAGGTAACGTATTGTACTTTGTAGAGTAAATTGTGTTATGATCAAATTGAAATTGAACGAATTGAACACAGTACAAACCTGATGCAAAGCAATGATGACAATTAAAATAAGGAGACTCTGCATGATTCTCCTTTTGGTTTGACTCCATTTGTTTGAGTCTTTTATATCAAACTCCATTTTGAAAATGCTGCCATTTTTATGACCATTTGAATGGATTGAATGGAACGCCACGTTCCCACATTTTCAATGCAGATTGGTCGAATAAACCAGGAAATTTTTGTTTTTGAACAAAGTTCATCAACTAGCGCCTCCTGGATGATTTAACTGTTTACTTTTTCAATGAGACATTTCAATGAGGCTAAATCGAAATTTTATTGCGGTTAACTTAATATTTAGTTATTATCTTTAAACTATAATACTAATAGCAAACTTGTTCCGATTCTTCCTGACATTCTTGAGTTCTAAACTGTTTCTCCCCGGTAGCCTTAATCTTCAATTGCTTGAATGTAAGGAATTGAAGATTAAGGCTAATAGTAACCCATAATACTAATAATAAACCTGTTCCGATCCTTCCTGACATTCTTACGTTCCAAACTGTTCCCTTATTGCCTTAATCTTTAATTGCTTGAGTGTAAGGAATTGGTTCTCATTCGTTTTCGGAGGAATTGACGGCTTTCGTTCTTCATGAGATTCTTTGAAATTCTTCAATGATGGATCAATTGTTTCTCCATCAAGACAACCAATCTTTTCTTGGAAATGATGATTCATCAACACCAAGGACTCTTTGCTGACACCTTGATAAACTTGAACCCATCAAAAATTTCATGCCCTTAAACGGGATTGAACCATCGACCTTTGGTTTACAAGACCAACGTTCTATCACTGAGCTAAAAGGGCTGTTGAAAAGTGAGAAATTGAGAAGAAACTGTTTTTGAATGTTTGAACAGCTTATTGAATTCCTTTTGATGAACAAATATCTCTTTCATCTATTCATTATCCATTTTTCTTTCTCCGAACTCGTCGCCCGTTTAGCTCAGTGGCAGAGCGTCTGTCTCGTAAAAGAATTGAGTCAACAGAAGGTCATCAGTTCAATCCTGATAGTGGGCAATTCATTTTTGAAATCCAAGGGGAATTGTGTCATTCATGAGAATAATATGAATTCCTGGATCTCGTCGTCTCATTGGCTCAGTGGCAGAGCGTCTGTCTAGTAAACAGAAGGTCGCTGGTTCGATTCCAGCATGAGACATCAATTTTTGAAATTTTTTAGAAGAGAGTGAGTTTCGATTGGTTAAACGAATTTTGCCGAGTTCTTGAGGCTTTTCAGAGAGGATCCAATCTCCACGCGAAAATCGAAAAAATTCGAAAAAGAAATCTGGGGAGGGATTGGAAACAATACAAAAACATTTCATTACAAAAATACATGTCTCATGCTGGAATCGAACCAGCGACCTTCTGTTTACTAGACAGACGCTCTGCCACTGAGCCAATGAGACGCTGAGATCCAGGATTTCATATTATTCTCATGAATGGCACAATTCCCGTTGAATTTCAAAAATGAAGAGATGAATGAGATATTTGTTCATCCATTTCTCTTTCTTTCCACTCATCGCCCGTTTAGCTCAGTGGCAGAGCGTCTGTCTCGTAAAAGAATTGAGTCAACAGAAGGTCATCAGTTCAATCCTGATAGTGGGCAATTCATTTTTGATTGAAATTTGGGAGTTATATCATTCATAAGGATAATTTCAACTCTGGAATCCCATCGTCTCATTGGCTCAGTGGCAGAGCGTCTGTCTAGTACACTTCAATGTCTAGCAAACAGAAGGTCGCTGGTTCGATTCCAGCATGAGACATCTATTTTTGAAATGCTTTATGTTTCCAATCCCTTCCCGGTTTTCCATCAATCATTTGGCCTCGAGAATTTGTCTATGATCGGAATCCAATGAATCCAATGTCAATAATCGAGAAAATTACGGTTAGAATTGCCACTTTTGGTTGATTCGTTCACAATGCGGAACCCGACAACCCATTTCTGTTTTGAATGGTTTCAGGGTTTTCCGAGAAAAATGGCTCACCCTAAATGCTCGTTTAGGTTCACGAGTTGACCTTGGATTACCGTTTCCGGTGTAACAAATGAAATGGTGTAACAAAAGTTCAGTACAGAGTGCGGCAGAATTATGATTGCTTTATCAATTTATTGAATCTAACTCAGTTCTCGATATCTCAAATAAAAGAATTCTTTTTTTGCTAGTATTTTCTGAGTTACTTGTTCTAGGAAAAACATTGGATAAAGGGAAGTGTTTCCTGAAAGTCCAGAAAATTATTCAAAGTGGGCGCGTCGGGAACTGATTCGCCAATTAACAATTAACAATCTATCGCCAGAATCAACGCAATCAAATGCCTTGTCTCTTGAATTTCCCCCAAAAACTATCTGAATTTTCTGAAATTTCTTATTAAACCTAGTCAGTCATAAGGAATTCTATTCTTTCAGCTCTTTTTAAACGAATAGAAAAAATTGCGGGTTGATTAAAGCTGAAACGCAAAACTTATAGCTTTAAAAAGTTGGCGAGTCGTAATCGGATTTCAAATTTTAATTGCTGTTTCACTTAAGAAAATATTAAGTTGGCAAAGAAGTCTTTTCGCATATCTAAATAAAACCATCGAAATGCTCTTTTATGACTTTTCTCTAATAAAAAGTTATGTAATAATCAGCTTTTGATCTTTAAAGTTAACCATACAAAAGTTTGGTAGTTGCTTTGGTTCAAAATTTGGGTGAAGCGAAAAGTCTTTCTTGCCTAAGTACGCGATGAGAAGGTTCTGTTTTTGCGGAAAAATGTTTTCTAAACCGAAATTTCATCTAGATTTCGTGTTTCTAAACTGCTTTTTAAAAGTTTTTTGTTGGCCCTAAAAACGGGGTGGCTCCCGGACTTTTGTATCATCCTGTAGATATTATCAAATACCGTAAATGCTGTATTAGAATGACACCCCCTGACCCCACGAAATCTTGACTTTAGACCCTCTGTTGAAGTTCTATGGATGGATCTAAACAGAAGGTCGCTGGTTCGATTCCAGCATGAGAAATCAATTTTTTGTCGCTGGATGAGGTCAACATATAAACCGTTTTTAAACATATTTCAAAGAATTGAATTTAATAATAATGAATGAATGCAGTTATATTGTTTTATTTTATTAAATGCTCTGCTCATAGGATGATTTTTATTCTTTTTATAATAAAATTCTAAAACCGCTGGTTTTTTAATCTTAAAAAATTTTTTATGATTACCCGGCGGTCATTAATATCCCTCCTTTAAAAAAGCAATCTGTTACAGAAATAAAAACTTAACTTTGTTGCATCGCTCACGAAGGTTTTATCACAAAGTAAATTTGAAAAAACGAGGAAAGTTCAGCGATTTCGTAGCCATTTGATCCTTTGGTTTACGGTAATTTGCCCACATTTTAGAGCGCAGACCCTCAAATCTTTAGGCGCTTATTCCTCTTTTGTGAGTGCTCAAAATCTTTTTTTTTGCGAATTTCTTAGCTGGAGTGCATACAACATTTCACAGGATTCAGATTTTTGATCTGTCGTTACAACTTTTTGTACTTATAGTGTACATGTTGTACTAGTAGTGTACTTGTTGTACTTGTGCTCTGCACCACCGAGTCACTTTTTTCGTAAGCCACAATAGTCCTTAAAAATTCATAAGTCGCTCAGTGCACAGGAGCGACAAATTTCAAATGCGTTTTTACAGAAATTTAGAGCATTTGGGTAAAAACTAAAAACGCCATCGTGTTGCCCGTGTCCGACTTGCTTCCCCCAGATAACCGTAAAGAAGAACCACAAACTAAATTAAAATCTTCAAATTTTGATAAACAGCAAGAATTCTTTGTGTTTTGCTGCAAGAATACTAAATGCGAATTCAATTTGAATCTCACTTGTGCTTTAATTTTGTTGACAACTTTTAAAAAAGCTTTTGGAAAGCATCTTGAATTTTGCCGATAACAAAATGGATATAAAATGGGCAAAAATGGAGAAAATCTTATCAGAAAAGCGTCAGCAACACGTGAAATTTCAAAGAATTCCGGCGGTTATCTCGAATTTTATTCAATCCTCAGAAGAGCACATTCATTTTCGCTCTTTCAAAAAAGCCTTTCAATTCAACAATTCAACAAATCATTGCCAAGTATGACTCGTTTGTCATGGTTGATTTTAGCGGTTACTATCCAGGTTTGTTCTTCAATGAAATTAAATTTTCTATATTAAACTCATAGCTTACAATTGCTGACGATTGTGATCTTTGTCACAAAATGGCTCAATATGTCTTATCGTTTAAAGGTTTGGACAAAAACCGATCTCACTCATCTATTGGGTTGGTGAATTGAAAACTGCCGGACTTTGAACTAAAATCTATTCAACATAAAACCATGAATTCATTCCAAATAGTTTCCATTATTATTGAAGACTTCTGCCCATTTTACAGGCAATTTGCGGGTTCCTCTTTCGTAGTAGGATTTTGGTTTGTGTGTGAGACAAGTGTGAGACTCAAAAATGGAGGACTGGAGATGTCCCAGTTTGGGCACTTTCTTCAAAAGAAACCCTTTTTGGTGTCAATAAAAAAGTTGTAGAGAATCAGAAATTAGGCTTATAGCCAAATTTCCAAAAAGATACACTTAGTAGTTTGTTTTTTTCAAAATGTAAGTTTTGTGAAAATTCGTAAATTTGGCATTTCTTGAAAATCAGTTTTTGAATCGTACTGAAAATTTGGATATAAGCTTAATTTTTGATTCTCTACAACTTTTACATTGGCACCAAAATGGGTTTCTTTTGAAGAAAGTGCTCAAACTGTGACATATGACAATAACCGGCAGTTTTCAATTCACCAACCCAATATTATAGCGTTCACTAGACTTGCTTATCGATATTATCAATAAAAACGACAAGCTAATGTTTGACCGTTCAGAGCTTAGTTTATAGAACAGCTATCAATATGTAAATTGTTTCATTGGAAAGCCAAGAATGTCAGCTTTTAATTGCTATCTCACACATAGCAATTTCTCATAGGTGAGTGCCTCAAAAAGCTTATCAATACTTCGATAAGGTTTATGTGGTGCTTACTTATTAAAAGTCGCTAAGTATAAAATAGCTAAAATAACCATCTGTGTCATGGTCCAAAAGGGCAATATAATAAAAATAGCTTCATTTTGCATGTGTTAATCTGTTCGTATGTCTGTTCGATAGTTTTTTGTTTCAGGGCAAGCCTACGCTGACGTGAAAGCGAAAGCGATTTCCTCAATCAGAACGTTTCCCACTTCGGATCAACCGTTTCTCAATAATTTGATCAGGTGCCGGAAGAGATTCAAAAAAGAAAAGAGCAACAAGTTTTGCTAAAAATTGAATTAATTAAACGGTAAATTTATGCTTCAATCTAGCTACAACTTCCGCAAACTCTACATGGATGTGAATAGTGCAGCAAGTGGAATGACCCCATCGACCTCTTGCTCTGATATGGGATTCTGTGATACAAAGGTGCTTTAGAAGTTTTTGAATTGTGTTTTTATCCAAGCATGATATAATTTACTATAAGTTTAATACAAATCAAAAAAAAAATCGAATTGAAACTAAAATCTCACTCGCATTTATTCAGGACGAGTTCAAAGCTCCATTCACCATTTTCGACTACAAGAGCTCGTTCTGGGATGATCACTCAGCTGTCAAGTTTTAAAAGAATCTTTACTTCATTTGTAAGATTTAGAAATACCCGTGACAAGACGATTATTGTCGTTCATCACACCGTTGATCCGACTCTTCCTGACACAATTCTCTCATTGAAAAACGCAGGGCTTTCTGTGCAATATATTGGTAAGCAGGCTATTAGAGAATACTAGGATTGTGCCAAGGACAGTAAATATTTTCCGGGCCAGATCAGATTTGCCTTTGCTGTGGACTGATGTGACTGATTGCAGATCAGGCCCACAAAAACCTGGTCTTAAGATCCCGATTGTAAGCCTGGATTACAGATTCTCAGTTATGACTTACAGAAGTCATTAATCTATTAATTTAGTTGACAGAGATGGAAAAATTTATCGTCTCGTGGACGATTACAGACGAGCCTACCATGCGGGAGCTGGAATTTGGCGCGGAGATGGGTGAGTTGTAAAAACTTGTTGCACTTTATCTGACAAAATTTGATTAATGAACGTTTTTTCTTGAATAGATAATTCATCTTTTTCGTTTCTTTTCGTTTAAACAGGAAAAGAACTCTAGCTAAGAATGAACAAGTATTCGTAACGTTCAGCTTTCCCAATAGAACTTTTAGATGCACCGTCGATGACACGAACACTCGCTCGGTCGGCATTGAGACAGTTAACACTGGAGGAGAGCCCTATCCGGACGTTCAGGTTAGTTAATAAAACTAATGCACAAAACCTAAGGCAACACTGAAAATAAAAACGTTGATAATGACGGGCAATTAGTTACCTAAAAAAAGATCAATTTACATATCATGATTTGGAAACAGTTCACAATTCAAAGATTACCGGATTTCTGCTAATAGTAGTGAACCTTAAATTGCTTAAAATCTCGAAAACCGCTTATGAAAACCTATCGATGTGGGGTTGGAAAATGTGGCTGATGATGAGTTCTTGTGGGGGATTAGAGTGTTGAGCTTCTGGGAAAACTTGGAAACTGTAAAATAGTCATCAACTCGGCTCAGCGAGGTGCACTACTATTAGAGAGAATACGCTATGTGTTGCATCTCATATGAAGACAGATTAAGCCGAAAATGTGTCGACTTACTTAAAGTTTGTTATAACTTCATTTTTATAACATTTTTACACTTATATTCCAATTTTTAGCCAGATAGACCGGCTATAAGAAAAATTAGGGCCATTAAAAGATCCGTAAATAAAAGCGTCTGGCACGAAGAGGCTTTTTGTCCATAAAGATTGAAGATTAAAATAAAAATCTAATCAAATATATCAAAACCTATCGATGTGGGATTTGAAAATGTAGCTGCCGACGAGATCTTGTGGGGGTTAGAGTGTTGAGCTTCTGGGAAAACTTGGAAATGTAAAATAGTCATCAACTCGGTTCAGCGAGATGCACTACTATTAGGGAAAATACCATAACCGGATACAGCTCAAAGGAGGGTCCGAATCAGGGCGGATTCTCACTAAAGTTGTCGACAGATAGGTGAGTAATAATTTTTGATGGTTTTCTGTCGAAATGATTGAAGGAAATCGGTTTATCAATAATTTATCAAGCATTAAAAGATGACCTTGAGTATAGCTAGTTTTGCTTGGAGGGATGTGGCGGAAATCTGGCCTAAATTAAGGTAAAAGTTGATTAGAAAAATTTGAGCATAGTGGCACCCGGAAAGCAGAAAAACTCATTTGCTTACTTACAAAAAAGAAGATATTCAACTGTAAATTTTCGAGAGTTTTCGGGGTTAAACGATTGGCGAAGTAAGGAAAGAGTTTACTGACAGTTCTAACTTCAACAACTTCATTCTAACAACTTCTAACAATTTCTTGACCTTCTTGTCGATAAACACATTAGAAATCTTCGTCTTCAGTTCAAAAACGATTGACGGTATTCATTTTATTGAGTCTACTAATTGAAACTCGAGTTTAATTGGTCTAAACTTTTAGACTTATCTTCGAGAAGTGATTTGCAGCTTTCAAATGATATATAATAAGCATAGGTCCAAGAAAACATTTCAATTCTGTCTGTCGATAGTTTTAGTGAGAATCGGTCTTAAATTTGGGCCTCTCCTTTAAAAAACTCAAAATAGGTGAATCACTAAAATTCAGGTAAAAGCTCTGCACCAATTAATCAGCTATTTGCGAACGAAATGGCACGTGGAACCACAAAATATTATTGGTAAGTTGAAAATAATTGAAGAGACAAGTGTTTTCAGCTCATCACGAAAATTCGCCATGGCAAAAGTACGATATTTCGGGCTATTTTTCATGGAAATCACTCTACGATGAATTCAAGGAGAATGTGGGACTTTGGAAGAGTAATCTCACAGCAGCTCAACAAAAAGAAGTTGTTCTATCGGATAAAGTAAAGGTTTGCCTAGGTTGAAAGTTAAATTTTCAAATTTTTCCTTCAGAATGCCACTCTCTTGAAAGAAGTGCAACAGAAGCTTTACGAGTAAGTTGGGATATTCAAAAGTAATGAAAGAATTTGCTTCTAACAATTTCTTGATATTCTTGTCGAGAAACATATTACAAATATTCGGCTTCAGTTCAATTTTTTATTAGGTGCATAAGAAATGCGGATTTCAACATTTTCATATCTTTTTTGATCACTCGCATTTCGCCCTCGAAATTTCTTCAATGCTTCGATCAATTGAAACACGTTTTAGCGTATTTTGTAGAGGAGATTTACAACTTTCAAATAGTTTATAGCATTCATCGATATCAGGTTCGATGAATGCTATAAACTATTTGAAATTTATGAAAATGTTGAAAACCGCATTTCTTATGCATGTACCTAATATTTTCAGGTACGGTCATGGATACATTGTTGTTGGAGATCCGTACAGCACCTCAGCCACCAGCAAAGTCACCACCGCACTCGCCATTCAGGCGTTCAACCGAAAGTTTTGTCCAGAGGTTTGTCAAGTTTATCTTTTAAAAGTTTTTGAATTGATTCCTAAAAATGCCTTTTAACACATCGCGACGAGATAGCTCACCGGTAAGCCGTATGTGAATTTTGCACTTTTTTAAGGACGATTAAGTTGAAAATTTGCAATCAGGGGTTTTCGAGAATGAGGAATTCGAATTCGTTATTAATTTTTAAAGAAAACTGCTTTATTTTTGGATATTTCATTCGGTTTAATTGCCCAAGTGCAACCCAAAATCCAGGGTCGTGTGCCAGAAGGTAAAACAAAAACGTAAAAATTTTCATGTTTAGTAATCGCACGGCTTCTGGTACACGGCCTCTAGGAAAAGACAAAACCTCGGTTTCACCTTTTTCTCTCCAATTTGCTTTAATTACCCAAGTTTTAGAGTTTTGTGATGACCGTATTGGCTCGGAAATTAAAATTGGTTTAAAACTAAGAACCGATTCAGATTCTCCATCTCCATGCCTCCGGTTACAAATTTTCTGTTTTACTGTAAATACTCTAATAGAAGCTCACTTCATACAAAATTGGTCGCCCAAAAAGTCACTACTTTTGAAAAAGAGTTTTGTTGAAAAGTGCTTAGAATGATGGCTCTTATGTATATAGATACTTTATTCAGGACCTGAGATAAAGTGCGCTAGATTTAAGATTAAAACACATGAATTCATACACATAGCACGAAATGCTTAGAATGATAATATGTATAACCTAGAAGCGTTGGCAGTAAAATTTAAAAGGATGTAAAACGTTTCGTCCGAAACGGCAGTCAAAAATGACTTTGTCGGAAATGTGTTAAAAACTAGACCTGGTTTTCGAATGGAATCAGTCCAATTCGATTGGATTTGAAAAATTTGGATTTTCGGTCGATTCGATAGATCTATAGATTCGAAGTTTTTACACTTTCAGTCTGGACCTAACCGATTCGATTCGGAAAAAAGCTAGACCGAAAACCAGCTCTATTACAAACTACAATTTTCTGACTGTTTTTAATTTAAAGAAATGGATAGTCAGTGAGCTTTAATCACGATCAATAGCATTTTGGGATCCACTATTTCATCAATTAAAAATCAAAAAAAATAAACCATCAAGGGTTACTTTTAGGTATTCATTCTCGAATCGGTAAAAAACGGAAACGAGGTGACACATGCTGAGAATCTTCAGGTGAGCAAGGGAATCAAGTTATGCGCTAATTTTCTAGTAAAACATAAGGCCCTACCAATGGCGATGGAATAAGTGTAGCTCGTTGGTAGAGCGTTCGCCCTGTAAGTGAGAGGTGACGGGTTCGAATCCTGGCGCTAACCATGTATTCCGCAACCGATAAAAGGACCGGCTTGTCTAACTGTTTCCTGGTTTAGTGCCAAAAAGGCTCTGGCTTGGCCCAAGTCTTGAACAGGATTGTTTCAAAGACAATTTTTTTCGGGCCAGGGCCTGAGCCTGGACCTCTGGTCTGTCCTTAGGAAAACTTTTATGAGTGAAGATCAGAAAGACAATAACTGCTTTAGGTCAAGGTTCCAGGTAAGTTTTTTTGGAAAAAGATTTACTGGCTAATTAGTGGGTTGGTGAATTGAAAACTGCGGGGCTTTGAACTAAAATTTATTGAACATAAAACCATCAATTCATTTCAAATAATTTCCATTATTATTGACGACTTCTGCCCATTTTACAGGCAATTTGCGGATTCCTCTTTCGTAGTAGGATTTTGGTTTGTGTGTGAGACAAGTGTGAGACTCAAAAATGGAGGACTGGAGATGTCCCAGTTTGAGCACTTTCTTCAAAAGAAACCCATTTTGGTGTTAATAGAAAAGTTGTAGAGAATCAAAAATTAGGCTTATAGCCAAATTTCCAAAAAGATACACTTAGTAGTTTCGCTTCAAAGGCAAGTTTTATGAAAATTCGTAAATTTGGCATTTCTTGAAAACCAGTTTTTGAATCGTTCTGAAAATTTGGATATAAGCTTAATTTTTGATTTTCTACAACTTTTCCATTGACACCAAAATGGGTTTCTTTTGAAGAAAGTGCTCAAAATGTGACATATGACAATAGCCGGCAGTTTTCAATTCACCAACCCAATATTTTACGGTTTTAACAACCCTGGTATAGACGATTGATAGTTTTTGAATCTATTTTATCAAAAGCTACACATTTCCACATTTTACAGACTTTTTATCTGAACACTCTCCTTTTCAGACCTACAAGCTCACTGTGGAGCGACTCAACTGGTTGCACGCACACACGAAGCTTCCCAATTGCACAAACTATTAAAAAAAATGGCTTGGGATTTATGAAATGAATAGATTTGAGTAAAAAAGTTGTATGAATACAAAATAAAACTAAAACTTCACAGATTTTTCAGTTTCAAACCCGTTTGGCAAAAACATTTAGTTAAAAAGCTTATTTCTTTTTACTGAACTCATCCAGTTTGATAAAAACTGGGTGAGATTTTATTTGTCCTCATTGTTTCTTATCAAACTTTTTTTTGCCTCTGTCTGTTGAGGTCAAGAAAATACGGAAGTCCCGTCAAAAAGTCCTTTTCTCATCGATTTTCAAATTATAAGTTGATAAGGGCAGACTAGTCTTTATTTTTGAAATATTACTGGTTTTTAACTTTAAAATGGAAATCAGCAGGTCAATTCGCAAGAAATTGCTATTAGCTATCGTCTACATTGCTCTGTTGCTCGATTATTCATTGCTGACTTCTGTTGGTGAGTTTTGGACAGTTGAAAGAGATCTTAGACAGCTTTGAGCATCAAATGAAAGAGCAATTTATAAAGTTTAAAAGCTGATCATTGAGAACTAACTATAAGTATTGGGTTGGGGACTATGACTCAGCGGCTAGTTTCCATATGTGCATAGTTCTCACACTTTCTTCCAAAGCAAACCATTTTGGTGTGAATGGAAAGTTGTAGAGAATCAAAAATGAAGCTTATATCCAAATTTTCAGAACGATTCAAAAACTGGTTTTCAAGAAATGCGAAATTTACGAATTTTCACAAAGCTTGCATTTTAAGCGAAACTACTAAGTGTATCTTTTTAGAAATTTGGATATAAGCCTAATTTTTGATTCTCTACAACTTTTCTATTGACACCAAAATGGGTTTCTTTTGAAGAAAGTGCTCAAACTGGGACATCTCCAGTCCTCCATTTTTGAGTCTCACACTTGTCTCACACACAAACCAAAATCCTACTACGAAAGAGGAATCCGCAAATTGCCTGTAAAATGGGCAGAAGTCGTCAATAATAATGGAAATTATTTGGAATGAATTCATGGTTTTATGTTGAATAAATTTGCCTTTCTTTTGTCCGTCATAGTCCCCAACCCAATAGTAATTCAGTGAATAAACACCGTCCAATCTTTCACCAAAGCACTTTTGAAAGATGAATGTAATAACGAAATGTCAGCAATTCCCCTATTAAGCCTAAAAAGATCTTTGTTCGTTAAAAATTCTTCTGATTGACTTTAAAAATATTCCTTTTCGTAATTCCTTTTGAAAAATAACAAATTCATCAATTAACCTATGATTTGCTTGAATAAAAAGTGTTTATTGTTCAATTTTTCATCGTCTTAAGTCAATTTCGGTTCAATCAATGTCAAGCAATGAAAAACGTGTTTTTCGTCAAAAATTATAAGAACCTCTACAAAGAAGTTGGCTGAATGAATTTCTCTGAAAATTCGACTATTTATCTAACTTTTTATGCTCTATCTTTCATCTATTGACACCAAAATAGGTTTCCTTAGCTAAAGTGTCTAAACCCCATCATCGAGCCGCATTTTCGACTACCCGACTTCACGCTCCTAAAAAAAGCCAGACATAAGACACTTTAAACCCATTTTAAACCCATTTTAATGTTATTTTGCAGAAAAATAATTGTTTTTTTAAGGAAACAAACCGTAGTTCAATTGGTGCCCTTTTTTGATTTTAAACGGAAATACGAAGAGGAACGAAAAGACTTATGCATCAACCTAATATGCTAAAAGATGAGAAAGAAGTTGAGCCTCATGGATATCGTCCAGTTGTCTTCTTTGTTTAATTGTTGGTTTTAAACGGAAGTACGAAAAGGGACGAAAAGACTTTCCGCCTAATAAAAGAACTGGTTTTTTAAAGAATCCGATTTTGTATTAAAGTCAAGGTCAAGGTCAAGGTCAAGGTTTAGGTTTCTTTAGCTAAAGTCTCTAAACCGCATTATCCCGCCGATGACTACTGACTTTTTAACTATCCGACTTCACGCTCGCAAAGAAATCCAGACATAAGACATTTTAAACCTGTTTTAATGTTATTTTCTAAAAAATAAATGATTTTTTAATGAAACAAACCGTAGTTCAATTGGTGAATTTTTTGGTTTTAAACGGAAGTACGAAAAGGAATGAAAAGACTTTCTGGACAGCCTAACAACTAGATTAGTTTAGAAACGCTTTTGTAAAGCCAGCATTACCCTAACTTCATAATCTGCACCAAAAATCTTCATTTTAAGCCATGAGAAACAAAAAATGAGAAGTAAACTTACCATTAGACAAGTTTTGAAGATTAACTTCATAGAATTAATCTGGCTCTGAGCCTTGAGCTCTGAACCCACTTGAACTTTAAACTTTGAATAATCTTCAACCTAAAATAGTAGACTTCATTCTTGAGTGACAATATTTGAAACCCAAATCTTATGCAGATAATTGTACCTGTGTAAATGAGCTATTAAGTTTACAGAGCCAATCTTGCCGAGCTTTTTCCTACAAATCGACAGTTCTAACACCACTTTAGTGCCTGTAAGTTTGATTTCTCATTGATTTTTAGCCAACTTTTCTTTAGACAGATCAGCCACAAGCCAGACAGGCACAAATTGAGAGTGAAAAACATGAGGCTTGGGTTTTTAGTGGGCGCAAAATGTTTAGTGCAAGTCGTCACTCAACCATTTATCGGACCAGCAACAACAAGGTGAGTTATGATAATATAAATTCATTCGAATTCTTTTAGAATTGGTTTCTCGATTCCATTATTCTTTGGGTTTGTCGTGATGATTTTGTCTACAATTTTGTTTGCTTTCGGACAAAGTTATGGGATTCTTTTCGCGGCGAGGGCCGTTCAAGGGATTGGCTCGGCCTGCGCGGCGACTGCTGGTAAGCTTTCCAAGAAACCTAAGCAATATGGTGAATCAAATACACGTTAATGTGTAAACATTAATCCAATCCTGACAAAATCACAAAAGCCTTACTACTAGTACTTCTTTCATCAAACGTTGTACACTAGATTGTTAGATAATTTGGAAGACTCTTAATTATGAAATCAGTCTGACAATGGCAATGCTTTGATGCATTTATTGAAAGAACTTTTTTGAAAACGTTTAATAATGAAACAAGTCTTACAAGTCTAACATCACTCTTCCATTTAACAATCTAAAACCAGTGTGACAATGCTAACGCAATGATTATGTGTTGAAAGTAAAGCTAGGATGACACAGAAGACTCCTAATAATGAAAACCGTCTGCCAATGAGGCAATGACATCTGTATTTAGTTTGTCAAATCAAAAGACTCAAAACAATACGAGCTTTCAGGCATGGGAATGCTAGCTCAACAATATTCTGATGACAAGGAACGATCCCGTTATATGGGAATAGCGATGGGTGGAATGGCGTTAGGTAAAAAGCACAAAAACCTAACAAAATTTTACCCACTCTACATTCAAGAGGCATTATCCAATTTGTTTTCAAACTTTACACTGAAAGATATTCAGCTAAAAGTTTTCTCAAGTGACTCAAAGATGGTAGGGAAAGAAAAGGTTGAAATCGCTTGAAATACTAAGGTTCAGATAGCTTATACTTTGCCCTTTTTTGATTAGGCTCAAAGATTGAAAATCGGCGAAAACATTTATCGGATCTCTTTCAAATTTGGGTAATTAAACCAATAGAAACAATAAAACTAACAAACGGGGAGAAGCTTGAAGCTAATCCCTAGGTAAAAGGCTTTAGGTAAAAGACAGAAAAACCAAACAAAATTTTACCCACTCTACATTCAAGAGGCATTATCCAATTTGTTTTCAAACTTTACACTGAAAGATATTCAGCTAAAAGTTTTCTCAAGGTGGTCCATAATTTTAGGCGCAGATAAAAAGCTTTGTAGGTAGACAAAATGAAACTTTGAAGAGTAAACTTTTATTTTAAAATCCTTATTTGATACTATTAAATTCAAAGCGATCACCATTTTTAGCCGAGCACATTGTCTAAAACAATCTAAAACCAGTGTGACAATGATAACGCAATGATTATGTGTTGAATTTTTAGGCACATTGTTTAGGAAAGGCGTTCACGGTCAGTAAGCATCATCAAGTTCATCTCAAGCTTTAAGAAGACTTTTCTTTAAACTTTCAACATTTTGAGCAAACTTTGACCTCAAGGACGGACCAGACAGAATAATCCATTGAATGGAGATCCGGCGAGCTTCAGAAAAAGAGATGAAAGCAGGAAACTTCACTTTGTGAGCTGGAGCTCCGTCTTCTTGGAATGTCGAAATTTGATTTTTTAAATGCTTTTGTGTCCAGTGCAAAATTTCAGCTTTTAGGAGATTGTGATAGTTAATAATAATAGAAAATAAGCCACTGCACCTATAGTTATCGGTCTGTACATTCAAGAAACATTATCAACCTCTGTTCTCAACTTTACAGGCTTACTCGTCGGTCCTCCATACGGTGGTGCAATGTACGATATCTTCCATGGGAAAGAAGCTTGCTTTTTGATTTTGGCTGGATTGGGAGTGATTGGAGCAGGTTCGCTTACTCAAATTAGCTTACAATTAGTCAAAAAAATCGCTCAATTTTCTTCAGGACTCCAACTCTTGGTTCTTCCACCAAAACTTCAATTCCAAGAGCAAGTCAGCGATAGCACATCACTTCGTCGATTGCTTATGGATCCACGAATTGTCATTGCTGCAGGTTTAAACACTTGGCAATTTTTAGAAAGTTTTGAAAACTGTAAAACTCTATATTCGAATTTTTACCCCAATTCTTTTTCAGCATCGATTGTTGTCGGCAATTTGGGATTGGGTGTGCTCATTCCTGGACTTCAACTCTTGATGGTTGACAAATGGAACTCGACTGCTTTTCAACTAGGTTCACTTTGAAGTTTTTTATTTCGATCACCAACAATTTTAGGCATAATCTTCTTCCCGTGCTCGTTGGCCTATTTGATCGGGACGACTTTCGTCCCAGCGTTGGCGCTAAAATTTGGACGGTGAGACTTGAAAAAGCAAATCTAATCGTATTACCAATTGATTTC